TGTCAAAGAACAGTGATCTTCAGACTCTTTTAAGTCTGAAACAACTTTAAAAAAAAAAAAAAGCAATACATGGCTGGCCATTTAAAACTCTTGCCCAACCGTTTAAAACTCTTGCCCAACCAGCATCAAACATAGCATTATCAGTAACGAGTAATAAACTGAGAAATGAAGGTCGAAAGAGAAGTATCAAATGGAACCGAACTCCAGGGAAGTGATTGCTGTCCGCCAGTTCAGAGCTAGGGCAGTCTTAAGGCCCCTCTGAGCTTTGTCTATTGTGTTCTTGCAAGGACTGACCACAATGCTGTCACCTGCTTTTCCTCTGTTAAAAGTGAATGACTGGCTGGAAGTAAAAATCAGCTTGGTCCTACTACACAAATGGTAGATTTTTATGAATTAATTTTATTCATGGTTGTGTGAGAGCCATGTTGGCTCCAAGATAAAATCTTACAGAGCTTTGGCAGAGTTTTTCATGGGGGAGGAGGTCATTGGTGACGGAGAGCAGCTCTCTCAGGAGCTCATGGGTCAGCTTAAACAATCTCTTAAGCAATAAATTAGACAACGCTTTCAGCAAGTAGAAAGGCTGTGGACATTTACTATAAAAAAAGAGGGTGACAAACATTTGGGGACTAATTAATAATCAAGGTAACAGAATACTGTTTTTCTAAAAACAATCAGAAATTAGACGACCTAGAAAATGGTGGTTGTTGACAAGTTGATGAGGCAGAACCAGTGAAAATAATATAGGCTCAGTGTATGCAGTGAAACACTCCTGAACACGCCATTTCCCGTTAGGGTCCCTTCTACATGCTGTGTAGATAATATAGATTCCCCAACAGTAAAGGACCTCTGTCAGGCCTTTGCCAAGCAATTCAAGCCAAGTTCTGAGCGCCCATCTTGTTCCAAGCACCATTCTAGCATCTGAGGATACAGCTGGACGTATCCTACTGTATCCTCAGATAGTAGGAGTAGGAATGGGAGGCAATAGTGGAGGGGAGATCCCGACTTTCTAATCGAAGTGGGAACTACAATTCTCTAAGGACCACAAGGTCTGTAATGGCCTAGGCCAGTGATGGCGAACCTTTTGAGCTCTGCGTGTCCGCATTTTGAAAAACCCTAACTTAACTCTGGTGCCGTGTCACATATAGAAATTTTTTGATATTTGCAACCATAGTAAAACAAAGATTTATATTTTTGATATTTATTTTATATATTTAAATGTCATTTAACAAAGAAAAATCAATCAAAAAATGAGTTCGCGTGTCATAGGTTCGCCATCACTGGCCTAGGTCTTACTGCCATCTTAACTCCTTCAATAAAAGCTTCAACTCTGCATACTTGAGAACTTAAAGGGACTATTTCTAGTTTTATAATGAAAACCAATTTCCCTTTTCAGAACTCTCCTTTGTTGCTTCTTGTGTTAAACATGCTTATTTTGAAAATGACCAACCTCTATAAATTTAGTTTACATAACATGGAAGATGAAGGGGAGAGGAAGAAAACAAATATTTCTTGGAGATGAGGCAAGATTCAGTTTGCCTATTTTACATCGTCACTGCTAAATTCCTTTGCCCTGAAAAACACTCAAGTTTCTTTTCCGTGTGACTCACCAGCAAATTGCTTGCTGTTCCTTAGATGTGGGTTCTACAGTGTGTGGATCAGGGATATCAAATGCCCAAAATGTGTGGGGGGCGGGAAGCACAGCTTATATTTTAGTCTAAGAATAATTCTATCATAAGCAAGTAGAACTTGTTTAGAATTCTACTAAACAACTAGAAAAATCCCCTTTCATCATTAAAAAACTCATGTTAAGCTTAGCAATAACAGTCGCATTAAAATAATTTTATGTTATATCCTCAGGACATCTATGAACAATGAAAGCTACAAGCAACTCTGTCGTCATTAGTTGATTTGGTTCATACAAATATCTTATAAACTGCTCCTAAAAGAGAGAGAGATTACATTTCACCCTTTTCCTTTTATCCCCTTTTATTTTTTCTAAAAAGGTGGACTCGTATTTCTGGATAACACCATTTAAGCAATTTATCAAATATTTAATTCAAGAAATACCAACTGCCATCAGAAAACACAACTGTCTCAGCCCCAATATAATAACTATTGGGGCCATATATTCAATTTGTCACCCATACTGGAGTCTTTCCACTAGTAGAGGTTGCAGGAACAGGTAGAGGAAGAATTTTGTGAGCAGATACTGTGAAATAAAATGAAGACCTTATAGTAAATAGTTCATTGTTATTTAAGAATGTCTATCCTAGTCTTTGTGTCTTTCTTTGCAGAATATAGTTTATTTTTAGTTGCGCAGCTATAATTAGAACCCAGTATTTTAAGCTTCCAAAATTGTGGAAAAGAATGCTACTTATTTACTAAGTCATTAGGCCTAACACAATAACAAGGTGCCCAAGTCTGTAAAAACTTGCTTGAACAGAAAACAATGTGTTTGCTGAGTCTTTTATTTTAATTTTTTTTGAGAGAGAGAGAGAGAGTTGGTCCACTTATTCATGCATTCATTGGCTGATTCTTTTTTTTTATAATTATAGGTAATATTTATTGAATATTTATTATTTTTCACCACTTTACCAAACTTTTTTATATGTTATCTTAGTTAATTTTTACAACAGTCTTTCTCTCTTTCTATCTCTCTCTGTCTCACTCTCTCTCTGTCTCTGTCTCTTTTGTTAATCCTTACCTGAGGATATTTTCCCCATTGATTTTTTTTTTTAGAGAGAGTGGAAGTGAAGAGAGAGAGAGAGAGAGAGAGAGAGAGAGAGAGAGAGAGAGAACTAAATGTGAGAGAGACACATTG